TAAATTCATTCGGTGATGTGTGTTGTAGCTGGATTTACAAATGAAACAGTCGATTTTTGTACCTATGCAGGCGATAGGTAAGTTAGAAATAAATAGGTGAAAGGAAATAAAGTTTTAAAACTTACAACTTTTGATGTGCTCAGTTGATATTTTAAGGCAGTAACTGGCACACATATTTTGACTAACGTCGTTTGATAGATGACATCAGAAGGATTATATATATATATTAAACATGCCTAGGTCAATAAAAATGAAATACAAATATTAACTACCGCGAATATGTCCTTAGAGTGAATCAAGAAGATGTAGCATGAATGGCGCTAAACTGGACGCCTCAAGGAAAAAGAAAGCAGAGAAGACGCTGCGGCGCAAGGCGGAGAAGCAGCTGACAGAGGCAGGACTGTCATGGGGGACTGCCGAGAAAATTGTCGGATACTGACAAACGTGGAGGGAGCTTTAAGGGGCGACCGCATGTGTCTTGGGTTTTAAAAGGAAAAGATGATATGATAGCGAATATGAATGATACATTTAAACATAAAAACAATATACTAACATTAAGGATTAATATGTTGTTGTACATTAACAAAAGCAGTAAAAGAAACAATTTATTGCGTGCTACTACTTGACAGTATAATTTAAGGGCGTAGCTCCACTATATACACCTCAGAATTCGAACGCCCACTATAAGCATATGAAAGGGCAGCACCCCATTCATTTGCAGCTGTACACTTCACATTTGACTAGGTATGTGATACTTATATAGGTCCATGAACTTCATCGAGAGCAGGCGAGAACCTCCACACTTCATTCATTCAGTACTCACTCAACACAAAGGATCCCCCCACCGCCCACCACACTAGCGCGGTCAATAGAACCATATAACAAGATCAAGGCCTCACAATTTTTCGGTGTTTATCAAGTGATATCATCTTATCCTTCTCTTGTTTTATTTACTTTTTCAGATTGTTCTGATAATGATAAGTTATGCACTTAAGTATTATGGGAAAGCACGCCTTTATTAGGCCGCATGCTGTGAGTTTTTTGTTGTATGGGCGATAACAGATACACACAGGTTAGATATTTCACACTATACTTGGTATTACTTACATATTGCAATATTAGGTAGCTATTGCTCACAATGGCTAAGAATATATGTACAGACCATATATATATATATATATATATATATATATATATATATATACATGCATACGCTTTATATTTAATATATATATTTAATATACACACACACGCACACACACACCCACGGGACACGCCCAATCACGGACACATACACAGGTGCGTGCGCACATACACACACACATACATGACACATATACACACGCGTACACGACACGACACACTTAAACGCACGCACGCATGCACACATGCAGTAGGTTCTGCCTTTAACAACGTCGCGTTCACATTGAGAACATGTATACGGAACTTGACCTACTTAAAACACCGTATTGATTTCCTCGAGTCATAGGTTATATTTAGACTGGACACGTTCTTATGCGTTGGGTATACAATCGCTGCCGTTTTACGAACAAGGTGTTGCTGATTTCATTTTTGAGTGTGTTTAAAAAAAACCACCACATGTAATACAGCAATAGAAAGTTTTAGCACGATGGCAAATATCAATCCCAACTTTTCCGAAGTTTCAGAACAATGTTATAAGCCTATTACATTATGATATATATATATATATATATATATATATATATATATATATATATATATATATATATATATATATATATATATATATATATATATATATATATATATATATACATACATATATATATATATATATATATATATATATATATATATATATATATATATATATATATATATATAGGCTATCGATAATAAGCATTTCTATCCTTTGTCTATTTTCATAGTTCTTAATAGAAGCTGCATAAAAGATTGTAGTGCCTTTGTATTTATACTTTTATACTTTTAAAAAATCCCTTAAATAATGATAACACTAGAAACACTCAAAGGCTTATTTAATCTGTGAAATATTTCCTGATAAATGTATCTGCTTTCTATACTTTTGTTCTACAATCTACACCTATGCCGTATACATGTTCTCAGCGCGAACGCGACTTTGTGACGAGATTGTTACTCTCGCATTGCAGACTAGTCCGACCGGACCTCAGGGGAAACCACTACGAGGTCCGCGCCAAACGAAAACGCAATGCGGGTCACACGAGTTCCGCTCTCTTCCGTTGGACCAGTTGAAGGCGGCTGGTATGTTCTCGCCCCACCCTCAAGTCTCCGGAAATCTCGGATTTTGTTGACGAGATTCCACGGCGACGTGAAGATGTGCAAGAATTATTGGCGCGATTTTGTCAGGTCCCCCCCCCACCCTAATTCTACCCCAACCCCCAGACTAATATTAAAAGTATTTAAAATCTTAATGAATTTTTAGAAGCTGTGTACAACTAGATCCAAATTATCCCTTTTTTAATATGTTTATTATCACTTTTGGTATCACTTTTATTGTTACTTTTATTATCACTTTTAATATCACATTTCATTTGTAATAATTATTTTGTGTGATTTCATCTCTACCAACCTTATTTCTATATACCGACATATCTTTGACCCTTGGCGTAACGTTGTATTTCACTAAATAAATTTTAAAATCTGAAACCCTAAACCTACACCCCCTGACAGTGTCGCGCGCATTCACTTGACGATTCGCTTCATTTTCGTGTTTTCGTTTTTAGCCTGACATGGTCACCAATGGCACGTGACCACGTACCATGCCAGGTTATAAAGGGAGGGCACATCTCACACCTCCCTCTATCGCGACTGTTGTTTCCCCAAAATATAGAAACATTAACAATCTGCATAGAATTACAAGTTGGCAAAGAATGCCAAATAATATACAATTCTCGTAAAAAAAAATGAGCTTTGGGTCATAAAAAATGAACGCCAAAGCTCACAAATTAACGAGAATACAGTAGGCCCACTATAGTGAATTATCTACAGGTGAGTAATTTTAAAGCAAATGTCCTTCCCACAAGACAAGCACTGCAGAGTTTCTTCACTGTGGGGGAATTTTCGGTGGACTTGTATGAAATCACCGTGAACGTTGTGAGTTATATCTGTGATAGCCTCAAAGAAAAGCTTATCACACATTCGGAAGTGTTGGTGGTTTGGGCAGCATTCGAGTTGAATCTGTATTATTTGACTACCACAGTCTGTGGAACACAAAGACATAACTATGTTCACACAGGCGTGGGTATACGGTACGTGGATTTAAAAAACTATTTCGGGTAAGTGGTTAAATCAATTTTTAAAAACTCGATGTGCCGGGTTTAATAAATATTATAATAACTTTATAGAATTGAAATAAATAAAAAAATGCATTGTTTATTTAAACATATTGCTTTTTTGTTTATTGGGAACAGGTTTCAGTTTGAATTATTTAATTAAGCCTAAAATATTTATAAAAGGCGGGCCTACGTTAGCAATTAAAAATAATTAAACGTTTTATTGGAGATGCTATGCGAAAACAAAACAAGCTAGAATTCCGACTCGGATCAGCAATTTTCGCACACTTAGTTAAAATGTAAAAATACCCGTCAGACGTATTAACTTTTTACCCTGCCATTTTCATAATTTTGTCCTTCGTGCATTTTTTTTACTTTCTCGTATATACGAAGTATAGAGAAAGTCTTGTAATCGTGCAAAAAAAATCGAGATTTTTACAAATCTCGACGTTTTACACCTCACTGATACGGAAAAACATAATTTTGCAATCTTGTCCGTATGTCTGTGTGTCTGTCTGTCTGTGTGTGTGTGTGTGTGTGTCCGTGTGTAAACACGATAACTTGAGTACCGTTACAGCTAGGTTGATGAAATTTCATATATAAGTATTTTATCAAAATCGTAGATCCGTATCAACTTTTGAGCGATTTCCGATAACCGGAAGTGGTACTTTTCCTACTTTGAATTTTTCAAAAGCCTATAACTTGAGTACTACTTCAGATAGATAAATGAAATTTCACATGTAAGTAAAAGATCTCATTCTCTACCTTCTGTCAAATTTTGAGTAATTTCCGTTGACCGGAAGTAGTAATTTACGCTACTTCCGATTTCTCAAAAAACTAATGTAAATTTTTAAAGTACTAATAATATTGCGCACTATTATGCACTTTTTTATTCTGCGTTAACTTGGTGTGCAATTAATGTGTCTACGAGATTTTATTCTATTTTTAAAACTTTAAGTATTTAAAATGGATTAAAAATCATGCCTATAGCCCGAGTTCCCATCCCCTGTTATTTTATATAAGAATATTCGAGAAAGTTTAGGGGAGATCACTCCCGGTTTATTTAAAATTTGTGATCTCCGTAATGCGACCTAATTTTTATTACGTTCTCTCTTGTTTTTAGAGCCTACACGAAAAAAAAAACAAAAAAAAAAAAAAACCCATTTGATATTCCATTTCGTCCTGGCCATAGAACCAGACCAAATCTACTTTATTTTATCCTGACAGAGATAGAAAACGTTAAAAAGATTCTAATTCTTAGTGTAAGGAAGTATCTTAAAAAGAAAATATAGATCTGAATATTCGTTGTAATCTTTAAACTCCGTGTTGTTAAAATGTTTGAGCTAAAACTGCAGCTTCGATCCAGTTCATTGGACAAACGTGCTAAAACCCCCAAAGATAGCTTGGCCAAAATAAAAATACCGTTAAAAATTTCTCAAAATTTAACGCATGACTGATGCATGAAAAAAATGAAAACCCATTCAACCTCCACACGAGAAGATGTATTCAATGACACTTGAGTTCGCGTCATTTGAATGGTATTGTGTGGTAGGCAGCACTTCACGGCCCAAGCGTGTTCGTTCCGGAGAAAAATATTCAATTGCGGTAACAATACTTGTTGTGTTTAGTTATTAAGCATTTCCATTGAAACATTTGTAGTGTACTCAAAACATAAAAAAAAATATATTTTATAATGAGTTAAATTACTTGCGGTTGGTGTGTGTTCTTGATCTACATTCTGAAAACAAGGATACAAATGGCAATCAATTTTTATAAATGTAACAATTTTTAGTCATATCAAGAAGTACATCATGATCCTTTTTCTCCGTTCGTGCCCAAGACACATGGGGCAGATGAAGTAGAGTTCATTTTTTTCAGGAACCTCGGCATATAAAGGGATAGTGTGGTCAGCACTATGCCCAGCCGCCTTTGCTTTCCCTAACGTGAGTTAGGTACCCATCAAAGCTGGGTGGACTCAGGGACATTGTACTTAATTGAACCCGGATTCAAACGCGAGACTTTCGGGTTAGCTGCATAATTAAGGAGCACATAAACGGCATAATTCAATCAATACCATGATTCCGCTTCTTTCCATTTTTTGTACCATGGAGTTTTTAATTTTTAATGTTTAATTTTTGTTTTTAGAACGACACATTTTAGGAGATAGTCATTTAATTATTGCGATGGTAAGTTTGTAAATTTAATCAATCCAGCATCTGGTTACAATACTAAATGAATGTAGTTTTGTTACTTCAAATGTAAAACACCAAAATAAAACAATTCTAGACGAATGTACTACTGTAGATAAACTAGACGATTTGTTATAATTTCTGTTCAATCCACAATAGATATTGTTATCATAAAAATGTTATGTCTAAATGACATAGGGGGTTGTTTAGGCCTAACATTTTGTTATATTTTGTTATATGATATAGTCGATTGGATCTGACTTAGATTAAATTTTTTTTTCTATTCACAATGACCTGACTTATCCCATTGATGCCTATGAGGAGCAGTGTTTCTTCCAGACTTTTTTTTATCCGGGGGGGGGGAAGGCACTTGAAATTTTAGGGGGGGGGTGCGGTAGACTTTCTTCGGGGGGGGGGGGGCGGACACTGTTAAAGTATATATTTTCTATATAAATTATATAAATTTCATTTTGTACGGGGGGGGGGGGGGGGTCGGTAGAATTTTTTCGGGGGGTGGGGGGTGGGGGTGGGGGGTGGGGGCGAAGCCCCACCGAAGAGATGCCCGGAAGAAACTCTGATGACGAGCAAATGGCTGCAGATACACTCTCCCATCGAACTCTGTTGTCTGAGCCCACGTAAGCCCAGAAGCCCTTGCTTCTGCTTCTACTGTCATTTCCCAGGGTTAATTCGGTCAGCCTACTTTTCTTTTACCCAGGGAATTCCAGTCTAACTCTTGCTTTGATGATGTTTTCTTTCTCCCTTCTCAGCGTTTTAATTGTTAGTGCTGTTTCATTGTTTTTTATGTTTTGAAATGTATTAACGGAAATGGTAAAAACATTGTAGTTTCGAAATAATATTTTAAGGGAAATACATTTTTTAGATGATTAGAATTTGAGACTCATTGTTTTAATTTCGTTTAGATAACAAGTCAGAATTTGAGACTAATCATCGTCTTGCTCTTCTAATTTTGTGTATAATAGTTAAGTCAGCTGATCAAAATTTTCTACAACAATTAATTTAAAAAAAAATATGGAGCTGATCAGAGGCGTAGCGAGGGGGGGGGGGGCGGGGGGTGCGGACCGCACCGTGTGACACCTTTTAGGGGGGTGACACCAAGGCAAAAAAATAGCAAAATGTATAGAGAATACATTTGAGGGGGTGGGGTGGGGTGCAAATCGAAAGTTTGAGGGGGGGGGGTGCAAATCGAAAGTTTGAGGGAGGGTGCAAATCATCGAAAGTTTGAGATGGGGGGTGCAAATCGAAAGTTTGAGGGGGGGGGTGCAAATCGAAAATTTGTCCCCGGGAAGGGTTCCTACGCCTCTGGGGGGGGGGGGGAGGGGGGGGGTGACACCATTAAGTGTCGCACCGGGGACGCCACTGGAGCTGATCAATACTGTCTGATGTATCTCACCACAAGATAGTGTTTGATGGTTCGACTAGACATTCGATCACTGGAACACTAAGCTGAATGAAATGATTGATTCACATCAACCGATCTTTATTACAGTTCCTAGATACCCACAGCGGTCTTCTTCTTCTTCGTTCTTAATTTTTAGTGTTGGGAGGGATCGTGCCTTATCTGCCAGAGGGTTTGAACTCGAGACTTTTTTCAGATTTATCAACCATGAGCTTTGCCGACTCGACCATGCTTCCATCACAATTAAGGATTCCGTGTCAACTGGTTATGCGCCATTGAGGCCATTGACTCCGATTTCAGCCTGCTTTTTTTTGGATTTGCTTCCATAGCCTTTGTCCAACCCAGTAGCGTACGAGGGGGGGGGGGGGGGGTGGGGGTCGGGGGGGACATATGTCCCCGGGCGCCGACCTTAGGGGGCGCCAAAATGGGTTGGAAAAATAAAATGAAAGGTTGATGGGGGTGCTAATCGAAAGTATGAGGGGGGTGCAAATCGAAATCTTGAGGTGGGGGGGGGGGGGTGCATATCGAAAGGTTTGTGCGCCGGGAAGGGTCGCTACGCCTCTGGTCCAACCAAGAACAAACTACAAGGCAGCAGTTGTTTGATTTTGGAGTTGTCTCTCCTAGAAGAGTGGTGATTCAATCCATTTTTTTAAGATTTAAAAAAAATCCCAATTTATGTTGTATGATATTTCTGTATAACACCCATTACAAGATGTAATGAGTTGAATAATCTCATACTCTCCTCACGTTTTTATATTCGCACTAAATCTATAACAAAAGGTAAATGGATATAACTGAGTTACCTGTGAAAAAATGTAGGCGAACGGACACTGACGGTGTTGAATTCGTGCTTCCGAACACCTATACAAGGAAAGCGTGGGCGGCAAGCTGATTTCTGTCCCACACGCAAAACAGCAGATAGCATCGTCGTCGACGTAATTTCCTAGGGAGAAAGTTTTTTATTTTTGATGTTGTGTGAACAATACAGCAGAGAAACCACCGTATTTATCTCCCCTTTCATTGAACGACAGGACGCTCTTACTTGCTATACGGTATACCTGAATGTGTCCAGTGTTTCTTCCAGACTTTTTTCTTCGGGCGGGGGGGGGGGGGGGCACTTGATATTTTCGGGGGGGGGGCGGACACTTGTAAAAGTATATGTTTTCTATATAAATTCCATTTCGTTCAGGGGAGGGGGTAGACTTTCTTAGGGGGGGGGGGGGGGGGCGAAGAGGTGCCTGGAAGAAACCATGAATGTGTACGACATTAAGGCCTTCATACTTCCGCCCTCCCCCTTCCCTCATCCATATCTTAAAAGTTGTCTTCTAACTATTTTTAATTTAAATTAAAAATAAAATAACATGAACAAAAAAAGTTTAAAAGAAACTTAGCAGCACCAATAGCAACGTTGAACTTGTACAAGATAAAGAAGAATAGCGGTTGAGAAGACTGTATCTTAGCGGGGTCCGAAGACATGTTTTGGTAATACAAATATTGATATAGGTAGGCCTAGATACACACAGAGCTTGTCATATTTGCTTCATTGTCGCGTGTGTGCCGCTTCATGTTTTTTAAAAGGTATCTTGGTTTTTTTTTGGGGCAATGATAACAATGGTCATGTGTTTGTTATTAAAATACTTACACAACAGAATAATACAGATAAAAGTTTATTGATTTAGAAAAAAACAACAACCTTTCTTATACCAAGTTCTGAAACTTTGTCAACTGAAATTTTCGGTATTAATTTTTTTGTACAGCTAGGGTTAGGGTTGGATTAGAGTTAAAAACTAAAAGTCTAAGTTTCATATCCTTTTTTTTAAAATAATTTTATTTTGGATGGCGGGGGTTAACATTTGGGCGGGGCTTATGTGGACAAAATCCTTAACTTACTTTTCAGGTGAAATCCTTCAGAGGCTAGTCGATGGAACAATTCTGTTTCCGACGGACTGAAATGTGCCGAGTTTCTGAAAGACTCGAATCGGTTTTCAACTGCGCTGAAGTGTGGGTGCACTATTTTTTTGAACGTGCGGGCCGCAGCCATTTTGTCTTTTAAAACCTGTCGAGTGTGAATCATCACATTAATTGTAAATTTTGATACGTAGAATCAGCTCCCCCACCCCCTTTCCCCACCCCATCAACCATAAAGCAAACAGAAATTTAAAATGTCATGATTTTTTTTCCTCTATAAAATACAAAAGAAATGCTTTGTTTCATGGAGACCTAGACATGAGAGGCGTTGCGACCGATTACGTCACCTGTGGGGAACATTCAGTTTCGCCCCCCCCCGTACCCCCACACCCTAATGATTTTTACCGGTCACTAACTTTTTTGTTGTGGTTATACAAGCGATGAAGTCAACAGCTCAGTGTCTAAGGCCGTGTAGCAGTATATTTTCTGAATCTCGGCTGTTTATAATTAAGTAATTAATTAGATCAAAATGAGCTTTTTTTTTTTAAAAAAAAACAACTCTTTTTGCACCCACTAGCGTCGGCGCCCAAGGCGGCCGCCACACCCGTCCTTCCCTTGCTACGCCTCTGCTAGCCCTTCACTCGATATATGCGTATTCACTTCTAGCTTCCTCCCACCCCTTAAAAAAACATCAGCTCAAAGACTAGATCCCCCTACAGTCATACCTTGATTTCAGTGGTCTAACACAATTAGAATCGATATTGTCCACCAGTGGCGTAGCCAGGAGTTGGTCATGGGAGGGGTTCAAATATTTTTCATATGTATAAAATCATATATATATATATATATATATATATATATATATATATATATATATATATATATATATATATATAGGGGTGTGAGTCCATGTGAGGGGTTATAACCCCCCCCCCCCCTTGCCTACGCCACTGTTGTCCACTGCATATCAATTAATCACCAGTAGGATAACATTTCACCAGTGGCGTCACAAGGCGGGAGGGGGGGGGGGGTTGGTTAGTGTGAATCACATCGGGTGACACCATCCATCGTGGTGACGTCGTCTAACGGAGTGACACCATCCCTAGTGGTGACATCGTCTAACGAAGTGACACCATCCATCGTGGTGACATCGTCTAACGAAGTGATACCAAAACTGAATACATCACATTTAAACGAGGACGTCTGTTTGTTTCTTCTAGTTAAATTAACAACTATTCAAACTTAAACACATAATTAGGCACAGGGTAATAACATTCGGGATGGGGGTGACACCGAATTCCTTATAGTTTGAGTTTATCATACAGGCTGTATAGTGGTTGGTGGAGGGGGTGGGGTGACACCTTGGTAACGTCACCGGGTGTCGCTTAACCTAGTGACGCCAATGCATTTTACCACATCAGTTTTCTACATCGAAAGTAAAACAAATGTTCGCTATATTCTTTTTTTTTTTTTTTTTTTTTTTTTTTTTTTTTTTTTTTTTTGCAGCCTGGACTAATATATACAGAGAAGTACTTTAAGAGGTTAATAAAAAACAACAACAACAAATGAATCATATCACTGGCTAAATTTTCCGCACTGAGTAACAGCGAACGTTTCAATAGATAAAAACAATAGCCTAAAGCGTATCGCTTTTCTCGTTACCCAACAGGGCACGGCGGCCATTAGAGATATAAATAGCAGTGCACGCTGATTGGTTCACGTGACAAAACCACAGGGCACCGGGACATAGAAGTTAAAAGCCTGAAGGTCATTACAACATCCTGCTCCCCCCAAAACCATAGAGACATTCGTGAGCATTTTTTCTAACGGGCCACAATCGTTAGGATTGAATTGATTTAAAATAATTTGATAACATTGATTAATTAGAACTATAACCATTATCCGGATTCTTAACTAAATAGGCCTACAGGTTGAAACCCCAAACTCTGCCCCAAACAGTGGAGGAACCCTTATCGAACCCCAACAACACCTTGCCAAATTCGGCTAAAGTTACGAAACATGGCGAGCAATACGATGAAAGACTAAAGAAAATAGGTACATACCTGACGGACGAAAAACTTCTTTGAAGTGAGGCGCTGTATGACAGTCCGTTTTTCCGAAAATATGGACGAAATAAAAACTTTGTTGAGTTCTTCCTCTTATTTCTTAACACTCATACTCAACATAACCATAATCGAAAAACAAATTGATTATTTGGTACTAGAAATCTAGTACAATTAGTGTAGCTTTATTCTGTGACTTTTATTTGTACTCCATGCATATACACGCATTACATTTTCACAAGAAGTTGTCAGCGTTTTATAAATTACACACTATTTATTTTACTGTTCGAATTACACAGTGTCTGTCCATTTATTAATATTACTGATCCATCGAAAACAAAGTCCTGATCAAGTTTTACCACTGAACACACTAACTTGTTGTGTACACACACTAGAAGGAACAGGCTCTGTGCTAGGGTCTGTTGAAAACAATTCATGGAAATATAAAAATAAATTAGACCGTAGAATTTATATAAACTGAAAGTGAAAGTAAATAGATTGCCTGTGTGTAAAATGTGAAAAACAGTTCTCTAAAACATACACAAGAAGAAATGATTGGGATCTAGTGTTTAATGTGTTGGCTCATGTTCTGGATGTGGTCTGGATGTGGTCTGGATGTGGTCTAGATGTGGTCTGGGTGACTGGCCGGTTGAACGTTGGGCGAAGGAACCGTGTTGGTGTTTGTTTGCTGATGAGGTGTTTAGGGGAATACCCGTTTTGTTTACGGTTTCCGTTGCATTACGTCATGCGTGTATAGGCTACCAATGAGCTGAACTACCTCATCGACGTGTTGATTATATTTTCACGTGACACCAGGAAAGTTCGTTATAATATTCAAACTACAATTGGGGAGTGGTCTAGAGGTAGAGCAAGGACGGGGAGTTAGGCTGCTGACCCGAAAGTGACACTATTCAAAGGGGGTGACACCTAAATAAAAAAAAAAACGAGTTTTATTGAGAAAGTCTTTTTTTTTTTCTCGTTTGTTTAATAACTTGTAAAATTATAAACATCATTAGGCACACGGTGACGCCATATTGGAGCAATGGAGGGGGTGACATCAAATAGCCTATTGTTTCAGTGCATCGTTGACGGCGGGTTGGAGGAGGGGGTGGGTGACATCCTGGGTTACCGGTACCTGTTGTCATCCAACGTAGTGACGCCCTTACGCTGAGAAAAGAAATGTCTCATCAAATAAGAAATCTTTGTGATCTAGCACGAAAGCAATAGCGATTGTTTGTAATTATATTAGACTTTCCTATATAGGGTAGAGTTGTATTATACAGGGTAGGGTTGTTTTATATAGGGTAAGGTTGTAGAGCTTTGCTAAATTAAAAAAAAACAGCCTTAGACAAATTATCTTGAACATTGTAGAGTTATTTTTAAAACAGATACTTACGGTACACATTGGATCATGGTTTGTGTGCCTTATGATTTTTGTAGTTAAGTAACGACAGCGAGATTTTTAGGCAATTTTTAGCATGGGAAATTACTGAGCTATTTTTAGACGGTTTTATCTAATTCGCGTCTAAAAGTGGGAAGGGGAGGGGGGGGGGGGTGTGCTTACTGCATTGAGCTGTGTGACTTTATCAAGAGCCCTCCACGTCCATTGATGTATAGGCCTACTGCAAAATCTGTCCCTGCTTACACATTTGACCATGGTTTGTGAATGAATGTGCATTGACATATTTTGTAACGTTATATGGGGCCAGGTGTGTCATTATGTCCGATGTTAATGGTATATGCAGAAGCGTAGCGACGAGGACGGGGGGAGGGGGTACATATGTCCCCGGGCGCCGACCCCAGGGGCGTCAAAATAAGCCCATTTTAGCTGCTATTTTGAATTATAAATATAAAAAAATACATTGGGGGGGGGGGCGTCAAATTGAAAGTTTGTCCCCGGGCGCCGGGAGGGGTCGCTGCGCATCTGGTTATATGTGCCTGATCTTGGATCGCTTTTTAATTACTACGATCACACAGTTTATAACGCAAGCCGACCCTTGAAAGTCTTGCTAATTTCAATTTACAATACAAAACAGTTGCGATTCAGTACAGGGCTTTGTTTGTCTGCTGTTAGCTTCGACTCTAGATCAGTGGCTCTTAATCATTTATGGAGGTACCGAACCCCACCATTTTCATATGCTAATTCACCAAACCCTTCTTAATAAACAAAACAGACAACACTGATCAAATTCGATCGTGTATCACATGACTTGGGCGTGGGTCTTGGCCTTTGACGAACCCCTTATACTGACTCACCGAACCCCTCATACTGACTCGTCGAACCCCTGGTTTTGATCGAACCCATGATAAGAACTACTGCTCTAGACTGAGTAGATTAAGTTGTAAATATATTGTTAAAACATCAATGGCTTATTCCAGTTAGATATCTCTTTATAGGCCTATATCTCTAGATGTGGGTAACGCCGAAACATCACTTAACATTGCGATAAGAATAAGATAAGTTTCTAATTAGATGCTCACTAATGTCAGAAAAACAGCACTGGCTGAAAACAATGAGTCACTAATTATAGTAACAGCTGGTGGTATTTAGACGAGCCTTGTAATTTGTAATGATTGCTGAACCTGCTCCCGTGGTGAGGTGGTGGTGGTGTGGGTGTGGGGGGGGGGGGGGGGAGGGGGGGAGAGGGGGGGTCGATAATTAACGTCACACAGCTGGGTGGGTACCTTGAGGTTTTTGTATGTAAAAGTAACGACAACGCGATCAAATACCTAGGTCATTTAAAGCTGGGAAATTATTGATCTAAATTTAGACGATTTTATCTTTCTCTTTTAAAAGGAGAAAGGGGGTGGTGGGGTGGGTGGGGGTTGTTGTGCTGTTAGCTACTGCATTAAGCTGTTTCAGTGTTTGGCTTATACAACAACCGTCCCCTACTAATGTATATGTTATATATATATATATATATATATATATATATATATATATATATATATATATATATATATATATATATATAGCTGAAATAGATATAGATATATGCCTTTACTGGCATGACTACTCTACCTTTACGTTTCCGCTAGGTAATCTTCCCCCCCCCCCCGCCCCAGAATGACCAGTGATCGTCTATACTATATTCGCGACGTTTGTCACGTGGCATGACCTGCTCACGTCGATGTGTCACCTAACACACAGACCTGCGCCTAGATACATGGAGAGAAGGGGGAGGGGGTTCTCTTTGCTCACCGTCATTGTAGGGTCCACACCCCCTCCCCTCCTCCCAGTAAGGCAGCCATGAGACACTCCATATACACAACATATCAGTTTTTGTATCTGTCAACAAAATTTTGTTTCCTTTTGTTATTTTAATTTATATATTGAAACATACTAGCATTCTAGTGTAACAAACTTATTTACATCATTGTTGTGTCCTCTATTACTCTTGTGAATTTTTCAGAGAGGAAAGACATTTTTTAATGACTTAATCTAATCAGATATTCGCTTAATAGGGCTGGGAATAGTGAGTGACATCACACTGAATGTTTGATGAAGAGGGGCGAGAAGGAGTTGTAACACTGAGCTATAAAGTTTAAATTTTTACAAAGAAAAGATAAGGTAGACAGCACATCAGAAACTGCATAGTCACATGAAATCTCGATAGTTGGCTGTGATTTCTAAGTAATGTTATCAAGAGCATGACGTTACATCATAGAGTGTGTTTGATGGAAAAGTCACTAGATAGCTTACATCTTGTACATTGCACTGTACGTATTGGCACAATACAGTAGTATTATGTACCCACATTAGTAGCATTGAGTGCCCAAGACAGTAGCTCTGAATACTCAAGGCAGTAGCATTGAATTATACCCACAACTGTAGAACTGAAAACCCACAACAGTAACACTGAGTCCCACCGCAATAACATAAAGTAATACAACATTAACATTGAGTACCTACAATCGAAGGACTGAATACCCACAGCACAGAGGCGTCGTGAGGCGGGTGCGGGCGTGCGGAACGCACCGGGTGACACCATTTAGGGGGTGACACCAAGACAAAAAAATTGAAGATATATAGAATATATATGTTTTTTTGCCAGTTCAACAAATGGTTAATTAGAGTAAACAAATATTTTAAGTACATAATGACGATCCCGACAAGGATGGGGGGGGGGGGGGGGGGTGACACCATGACGTAAACATTCAAACTATAGAGAAACCAATGCTATATCTAGCTGTGAACAAATTGAAGCTATTACGGGGGTGGGGGGGGGGGGGTAATGACATGTGACACCAACTGCAAAATTTACAGAAAAAAGAAAGGTGTATACTTGTGTGTGTGGGGGGGGGGGGGGGAGGGATGACATCATAAGGTCCCGCACCGGTTGACACCCGACCTAGCTACGCCACTGCCACAGCAATAGCACTCAGTACAGACAGCAATACCACACAGGAGAAATAGAGGGAATAGAGGGAATAGAGGCTTCTATCTGTTGACCTTGAGTTGATTTTAAGTAAAGGAAGCATCGAATCTAGGGTCACCTCAGGCTATACACATTGAGGATGTCATTTCATGTGTAGTGGGTCACTGGTGAGTAATAGAACCTAGACGATAACCCATTAAACTAGCCAGTTATAAGAGATCTTCAGAGAGTATATGCAACATTATTGTCTCGTATTTGTCTTCACCGTGTTGAGTATTTCTATTGGCTGGAATTTAGATGGTCGATATGATGTTGCTTTCCAAGGGGGCATTTTCATGAATTCGATCTTTTGTATAGAGCAGGGGTTCCCAACCTTTTTTTACTCTAGAGCACATTCGGGCACCACCTATTTTAAATCGACCAACTCCTTCCAGAGGCGTAGCGACCCTTCCAGTCACCCGGGGACAAAACTTTCGATTTGCACCCCCCCCCCCTCAAACTTTCGATTTGCACCCCCCCCCCCCCCTCAAACTTTCGATTTCCATCCCCTTCAACCTTTCAATAATGTTTATGAAAAAAATTCTGTTTCTATCGAATAGTGAGAGGCGGGCACATACGAATCGTTCGGCGGGCGCCATGGCGCCCGCGGGCACGGGGTTGGGAACCCCTGGTATAGAGAGTGTACCTCTGGTTTATTTAGTAATTTAAAACCACGGCAAGTTGATTATAATATGAGCCTAACTTCATCTGCCCAATGAATCATTCGTTTTAATGCGGAACTTTGTGGTTGATTATCCCAGGCAGCTTCAACAGACACCCCCCCCTATCCAGGTCTGTCAGGAGAGATCCTGGGTGGCTATCGTGGTTACTGTATGGTTAAAATTATCTCCATACTCCACCCCTCCCCAGCTATCTCATACTTCCTCTGTTACGACCTCCCACGACAGGGACGTGGGGTTGGGAGCAGTGGCGTAGCGAGGTCGGGTGTCACCCGGTGCGCCACTTAATGGTGTCACCCCCCCAGAGGCGTAGCGACTCTTCCCGGGGACAAACTTTCAATTTTCGATTTGCAACCCGGCCCCCCCCCCCCCCAAACTTTCGATTTCCACCCCTTAAAAGACTATTTAACACTCGAATTAATCACTTAATTAAGTGGAATTATCATTTTCCTCTATATATTTCGCTATTTTTTGCCTTGGTGTCACCCCCTAAATGGTGTCACCCGGTGCGGTCCGCACCCCCCCCCCCCACCCCTCTAGTTGGGAGATTCAACTACATCTGTCCAGGCGTTAAAACTTAACTGAGATCTAATGCGAGAAATTTCTTGGTAACGACAGATATAAAAGACATTGCAAACACTCATGTAGCTGTAAGATGTAATGATACTGTTATGCACAAACATATTTTTGGTAAAAAAAACAATAAAGAAAAGCCATATTTTATATTCCTGTTTTATTTCATTAAAAATAATTTAAGCAACATTTCATTTTCTGTGCTCTTTCTTTGAATTAAAGGATGGTAGACACATTTTTTTTTTGTGTACAAAAATAATCTAAAAATGCTTTTTTTTAATTTAAAAAACAAACTTTTTTTTTTAAAAATCTGGTTGTGCTAAGCATTTCACAATTCCTTACAATTTATAATTGAAAAACACATGTATTTAAGATGTCATTTAAAAAAACAACTTTGCTTGGAATAAAATAACAGGAATGTTTTTAAATGATAAAAAAAAGCATAAAAACAACATGAAAAAAATAGAATTAAAAAAGTTACATTCTTTCAATGTAGATATAGATTTTTGTAAATAAAATTCCTTTTCATCATTTCATTTTAACTGTTTTTTAACTTTAATCAACTTTCTCAAAATACTTTTAAATAATTTAATTTACCTAAAGTAAACATTGTAAAATGGTATAAACAATGTATAAACAATGCTTTTTAATATTGTAGAATTCCAAATTACTACTAAAATAAAAATTTTACATTAATATCTACTGTCTGTTACTTTCAAGGGGCCGTCCATACTTGAATCACACAAGTTAGGTGGGTGGGGTGGTAAAACTGATGATGTAGCATGTTTTGTATTCCTTAGAAAATTTATGTAGCATGTTTTGTGTTCCATAATAAGTGTGATGTAGTATATTTTGTGTTCCTTAATAAGTGTGATGTAGCATGTTTTGTGTCCTTAATAAGTGTGATGTAGTATATTTTGTGTTCCTTAATAAGTGTGATGTAGTATATTTTGTGTTTCTTAATAAGTGTGTTGTAGTATATTTTGTCTTTCTTAATAAGAATGATGTAGCATGTTTTGTGTTCCTTAAAAAATGTTGGAAAAAGTTTTAAAAGTCTTTAGAATGTTGTTTTGTTAGTTGAAGAGATAGAAATAAGAGAATTTATTGTATTGTTTGGGTAGGGGTGTCTGTGTTTTTAAGTGGACATCAAGCAAATCAACAGAAATTGTGTGATGTCATTTATGAACAACCCCAATCATAAATGTGAAAAAAGTTGTTGTAAATAAATTTAGTCTTTTAAACTCAATTATTATCTTTAAATTAAATTAGTCTTTTTAGGTTCTACAAAAACATGATTTGGAATGTAAACTCCACATAAATAAAATATCTGGATAAAATAAAATTTAAAAAAATAAAAGAAAACTAATATTAAAAAACACACCAAAAGCTATTTACAATGGATACTAGATCCAAGTGTAATAAAAAAGTAAAGACATATAAGCAATGGTATAATCATATTTGTCTTTGTCATGGCAGATAGAACTGAAGCAAGAAAAGTTTACAGAAGGCTTTAATTAAACATTAGGCTAATCAACTAATTGGGGAATTACTTAGTGAAAATAATTACTCTATGAAGGTGACTCTCTATAGAACAATATGACAGAATTTATGAAGGTGATTCTCTATAGAACAATATGACAGAATTTATGAAGGTGATTCTCTATAGAACAATTTGACAGAATTTATGAAGGTGATTCTCTATAGAACAATATGACAGAATTTATGAAGGTGATTCTCTATAGAACAATATGACAGAATTTATGAAGGTGATTCTCTATAGAACAATATGACAGAATTTATGAAGGTGATTCTCTATAGAACAATATGACAAGAGCTCATGAAATTCCTGAGGATGCTAATCAACCAAAATAACAGCTCTTGATAAAGTTAAAGGTACAGAAACTTGAAGTACAAGAAGCAGGAACCCTATATGAAGATCACTTGCAAGGGAATATAAAGCTGCTGGAATGACATGACCTGAATTCAATTTCAGAGAATTGATTTAAGTAAAGATATAAACTCTGATACTTTGTAAAGAGAGACAAAAAGAAAAAAATGATAGACGAAAGACAGAAGAATAGAGCTAGCAGTTCTATTGAAGATGAAATGTATAAAAAGCACAGTCTATTTGTATTTACTCCCCCAGAAATAATGTATCATTGAGATCAAATAATGGGGTAAATTATTTCCAAAGATATATCAAATGAAAGTGGGTGAGAAAATAAGTAGAAGCTATTCAATGTAGAGTATACAAGGCATACTTTCTTCAGATAACTTTTAGAAGCTTTAGTAAAAATTGTATACTTTCTTGAGTATTTGATCATCTTTTACAAAATGGGAGGGGCTGGGTTTTTTTTCCCCCCAAGGATGGTAGATGTGCTTTAGGGAAAGAGGGGGAGGTAGTTCCACTGGAAAAGATGCCTGAAAGAAACTCTGGTCAGAGCTCTAGAAAATACCATTTAGGACTTGTTAATTAAAACATGATCTTTTAAAAATTAAAATTAACATATTTCAGCTAATAGTGTCATGCTTTGCTTTTATCAATAAAAATAAAATAAAAATTGAATAAAAAGATAATTGAAAAAATAAAATTGAATCAAAATATGTACATAATCATAGAAGCTTTAAGTAAAGCTCAAGGTTAAGTTAAAAATATGGAATACAAGTGCTGCAACTTCTAGTAGGCCTATACAAAATTGTTAATTTGTCTATTAAAATTGTATGTTTTAAACTGGTAATAAAAAGTGTTATGAATGAAAAGCTGACAGAACACTGGTTCAAAATTATTTAAAAAAAAATTAAAAACATACCAGATTTGAAAACGATAGGCCCTTTAATTGTAATGGGATCTAACTATTTTGAGTTTTTCATAGATAAAACTTTCACCATAAACTTTTAACGAAATCTTTGAAAAGACATATCCGCCTTAAAGATGTTAGTTTTACAATTTTATTTTAAAGCCTACAATTTGTAGCATTAGGCTGATAAAGAAGATGTTACAGTACTTAGCAGGGAGCAGTCTAAAACACAATGAAGTAGTTTCACTTGTAGAAAATAAACGTACATAAATATTTTAAATTTTTATTGACTTTGTTCTTATATAGGTTATTGCTAACCTAGAAGTAAAAAATATTTATATACGTTTTTTTTAAAAAAAGTAAAACCATTTGAATGTGTCAATTTGCTGCTTGTAGACTGCCGTCTTGTTAACAGGCAGATAAAAAAAAAACAACCTTTATCATTGACCAGGCCATTAATAGAGCAGACAGGGCAGTGTGTCTGTTTTTATGGCACTGGCATTGAACAATACCCAGCCTCCTTTACAACTGACATAAAGTTGTCATTGATGCATTTTGTTTTACATGCATGGGTTTCAGCCTGTAACCCTCTTGCATAACCTGCCATTTAGTCGCCTCCTACGACATGCAGGCAGGATGGCATTGAACCTATTCTCTGTATTCAATAGAATTCCGGGTATCATACGGAAAAAAATAAACAAATCCCTTCCTAATATTTTTGAAGATTTCTCAATAACTAATTTTTTAAAAATGAAAAAACCTCTTTCTTTTAGAACAGATAGATGGATTTTAAAAAATTTTTTAAGTGTGCTTTTTGCACAACATCTAGCAATGGGTTGAAATATATAGGCCAGAGAGAAAAGTTGCACATTTCCTATAATAAAATAGATTTTTCTGTAGAAAAACAAAACCCATCCTTTAAAGAAACAAAAAAAAACTTTTTTTTTAAAGAGGGCAGAATTTCTCAAACATCCCTGCATTTCTTTTAATATCAATTTGTGGTTCATTTTAAGCAAATACAACTGCACTGAATATTTGAGAAAATCTGCCCTCTACCCCTACTGTACATTTAAAATGATTTTTTAGTTGACTCTGCTGTATAAAAATGTTTTGGAGCAAAATGGACAGAGTAAATTTCCAATAGCCTTTAAATTACAACTTTCTACTTTTTGATGTCTTGGGAAGTCATCCATTGCTCTGCACACTTTGTTGATATTGATGTCAAACTTTGACATTAGCTCCTCCCATAAACAATGACCACAGGCAAACATTGTTTTCTTGCAACAACCAGTATAAAAAGATGCTTCGCTTACTTGACATAGCCCGCACATCCTTACTGCAAAAAAAAAAAAAGAATTCAAAGCAGTAAAAATTTACCAGCAAAATTTCAAACCTATTGTATAATAAATAAAAACAATTGGTTTTGTAATTTTTAAAAATACAGTTATTGGATATTAAAGTAGTAGGGTGTTCAGTTCATAGGCAATATTTTATCAGAAACTTCACTTATATCAGTATAAGATATATAAGCTTACATTATATATTTTACATTTAAAACTACAAGGGAGGTCTATTTTTAAAAGGAAGAGTCCCTTTGTTCTAAAGATGGATGGTTAAAAAAAAATTCTGAAGTTTTTCTAATGGGAACTGTTCACCCTACTACATAGAATAATAAAATGGAACTTTTTACCTGGGAAAGTGGCTTCACACAGCTGTAAATTATACAAAACCAATATTAGTGTATTAGTGCAATTGTATTTCAATATTTTACAAACATTTGACTTCTATAGGCTTAAACAGAAATATTTACTATATCTTCTTTATAATGTTGAATAAACAAATATAGAAGTAAAGCAGCCGAACCAAGATACAAATCTTGTATTTTTCAATAAAAAACTAATAACATAAAGCAGTTGTTTGACTTCAATTCGCCAGTGATGTAGCTGGCATAAATTCTGGCAGTGAGTGTTAAACCATACTGCCTTTTGTTGCTATAACCAAACTTCAAAGTTTAATGTTGGTCTGCTTATAACTTCAAGTAAAAGTTAAACACCAAAATTGATTCTTATAAGTGTGTGAAAATGTTAACTTCCCTAAAGAGATTATTCTGTTAAGTTAGGAAATTACCATGAAGCTAAATTACCTGATTTTTATTAGCACATAGCTCATAAAATAGACAGCCAGAATAATGGTGGTTAAGATTTTGTCTATTATTCGTTGCCAGTTGCTTTCTTTCATAATTACTTTTCAAGTCTTTAATCTTGATCATGCCACCGCAGCAGAATAAAGTTAAATAATTTGGCAGGAATTCTAAAATAAAGAATACGACAAAATTATTCAAATTAATAGAAGATGGAGAATAGCAGATGGTGGATCAACTTTGCCAGCTAGGCTTTTCAAATCAAATGTGAATATTTTTATCAAATCGGTAAAAATTTAATATGTTGTTGAGTATTTTAAAGTTGTTAACAATGATAGTGATAGACTACAAGATAGAGGTAAGGGAAAAGAAAATGTATAGCTTTTGTTAAATTTTGATTTTTTTTAATGAAGCGTACATTTTATTTTTGTTTATTTGAATCCGTAACAAGTTGAAGAGAGTTACATTACTGATATAACATTATTAATAGCCTAAGCCAAGCAGTACTTATTCAATTCTATTTATATTAAATTTTTTATAATTGTTGCATTTTGGGTACGTTTGGTATTTTAAATTCTTGAAACAAATAGCCGCCATTTTTTTTGTTCACAGCAATTAATTTAGTTTAAAATTTATAATATCCCTGGTAAATGTGATTTCAAAATTTAAGTGAAACAGACTGAGACTTACAAGCTCAATAAGAGTGTTATTGATAATAATACATGATGGACTGTTGCATTAGTTTTGGCAGTTGGACAAACTTACCATCATAGAAGTAACCCCTTTCGGCAAACATTATTTTTTTCTGCAGAATCTTCCAATCCAAATTGTGCTTATTTAAAATTTGAAGGGAATAAATTCTTTCCTCCTTAAATCGATGATCAAAATATTTAATATTATAATTAGCTGGAATTGTAGACATAGTAGTATTACAGCTAATAAGCTCATCATCATCTGTGGAAAATTTTTAATGGATAATATAGGCCAACATAAAACATATTAAAAGCATTTAGCCCTATATATATAAATATATATATATATATATATATATATATATATATATATATATATATATATTGTGGATACAATTGGTATTAAACCCTTGCACTAATAAAAATGAGGAGATTATATTACTGGTTTTACAATTTTATTTTAGCCAAACGAAAAAACTAATTACCTTTAAAAAATATTTTATTTTTTTACTCAGTAATTGATAATAACTGAATAAACATGATACAACCAGTTCAGTTAGACATTCTTTATCTACTAGCTCAAAAATTACTAGTGGTCATTTTAAAATGTAATATATTTATGACTGTAAAGAGATGTGCTTTCTATTTTTAAGCTAAAATCTTACCCTCAATTATATCATCACCAGCAGATTCACGTAGCGTAAGAGGGAGACACACCAAATCAATATCATCCATCTCGTAATGCTGTAGCTTGCAAGAACTTGTTGACAATTGGGAAAAGTTCTGCTAAAATTTAAAATTGTGTATCAATACTAAGACTTGAAAAATAAATCAAATAAAAAGTGTTAAATGATAAAATACGACCAACAGTCAGGAAACAAATTTTGTTTCATAGCTGGGGGAGGGGAAAGTGATAAGAAACATTCTTGCTCCCCTCAAGGCTAAATGGGGGAGTAGGTGGGCTTAGAAAATAGTTACATTGCAAATAGAAGTTAGTCTGTTTATATACCCCCACCCCCCCCCCCCCCCCCCATGCAAAGAAAAAAAAAACTCAAAAAAAAAAAGATGTGGGCTTGTTTCATAAGTAGACAAAACAAAACCATATAAGATCCCTAACCACTGTGTATGAACACTACACACAGACGTTTAGGTCCCACGGGTAGTCCATAAATCATCGACACACACCCAATGCCAATGTTATGACTTTTGTAGCGATTTTCTTTTTGCCTACTCTGTTACTGTTAGTGTTAAGTTCAACTGATAATCTCTACTAATCTGATAATCACTTGAAGACAATAGCTATAAATTAACAAGTTTAGGCTTACCCAAAACATGGTAAGAAAACACGTATCTATGCTAGCTTAACTAAAGCATACCAGTCTGTTTCTAGGTGGTGTGGATTTTCACGATCTTTAGATAACTTGATGATTTTTTTAAAACTTTCAGTGAAAGTGGTTAACCCCAAAACATGCCGGTGATGGAAATGTCTAAAGGGAGATCACTCTAGTTATTCAGGACCAGTAATCGGTAATAGTAATGTGATAGAGATGCAGTGTCAGTATAGACTATAGAAAAAGATACTGGGCCTTGGTCGGTAGTCAGTTAAAGACGCCCTTACTAACTGGTTATAAATATAATAACACAGAGAATTTATAATTCATGCCCACACATTGTAATTCAAACGGCATGTTTGTGTTAAAACAGATAGATAAACTGGTACGGGGTATCCATTTTTATGTAAAGTAAGAAATGTAGGCGAAGGAAACTAAAAAATTATGAACCTAGCGATGTGGCCGTCTATCTATTATTAGTGAGATTAATGAATGCTGCACAGATTAATGAAATATTTTATTTGAACTTTCCCTACAAAAAACTGCTTCCTTATTGGTTTGATTTGGAAAACATTAAAATACAAAAAGAATCTCAGCCAAACTGGCATATCTAAAAAAGTTGGATGCTCAGTATCTAACACTAAAACTATTTAAAACGATACTTCGTACGTCTTTTTGAGCAGCCTAAATAGAAACTGTTGAGCTACATAGCGTAAATCTGAATAGCTTTCATATCAACCATGACAATACTTTTTTTTTTTAACAGCTAAAGATCGTCCGCCATAAAACTTGGGTATTACACATTGAATACTCACAATAACTGAACCATATTTCTATATTATTTAGACCTATAATATATTATAAATAAGAAGGGCGTATATAACACCTTTGACTTAACTCAATAAAAAAAGTCTTTGTCAACACTTTTGTGTAAATTTTGGGCCTATATTTACTTACCTACAATAAAAAAAAAACAACACATCAAATACAAATTGATAAATCCTTAACAATCCTGTACTTACTCAAATCGAATTCACTTTAAAATTTAAATGGATCGAGTCCAAATCTAGACTGTAGAAGACGACCCAGCAATTTTATTTCAAAGAAATAGTCCATGCTAAACGAGACAGCTCTATATATAGGCATAATGAATATAAACGAATCTCATTGGCTAGGCCCTAGTTTTGGCAGGTAGCCTTGCACCTACCTGTTGCCTTGTAGCAGTGGCGTAGCGAGGTCGGGTGTCACCCGGTGCGGCACTTAATGGTGTCACCCCCCCCCCCCCCCCCAGAGGCATAGAGACCCTTTCCAGGGACAAACTTTCAAACTTTCGATTTGCACCCCCCCCCCTTCAAACTTTCGATTTGCACCCCCCCCCTCAAGTTTTCGATTTGCACCCCCCCCTCGAGTTTTTCTCTATATATTTTGCTATTTTTTGCCTTGGTGTCACCCCCCTAAATGGTGTCACCCGGTGCGGTCCGCACCACCCGCCCCCCCCTCGCTACGCCCCTGCCTTGTAGAAATATTCTCAAGAAGTTATTTTTTTATTAAACAGCAGATTGTTTATATAAAAGTAAACTTACAACAAAGCTAACAGTAGGCATACTTTAACTCCCGACAATGGTGGCGATAATACTGACTATTAATTAAACACTAGGCTATACACTGTGAATCAAAATCAATCCACAGTAAAAAAAAAATTCTTAAAAATCTGGCAACATGGATAAAATATTATGTCTAAAGTAGACCCCAACACAAACGTTTTAAAGTTTCATGTTTCAGGCGTTATAGAACTAAATAAAATTGTGAAAGAAACTGATTGGAGTCCAACACTAACACAATGACACAATTTCTCCGTAAAGTAACATTCCAATGGTAACAGTGATCTAAATCATCGATAGCTTTGATTGTTTCTCCCATCCAAAACAGAAGTGTAAAAAACTGTTTTATTTCTGTTTAGTTAACCGTTTTTTAAAACATACAGATACTCATAAATTGTAGATCAAACTTGCAATTAAATTAAAAAAAAAACCTACAACAAATAAATCTTGATAGATCTACTTTTATTATGAAAATGGCTGCCGTCTTTAAGTCTTGGCATTAAAAATAATATCCTAACTTTCCGTTTAGCTATTAATAAATATCTCACTAACCTGCTTCAAAGTTCTTTGAAAAAAAAATAATTTATTGGTTATTCAGAATAAAACAACATAGATTCTAAAAAATAACCAAACTACAATAATTGATGCCGGATATAACTGCACATAGATCTAATTTTTGTTGATAAAAATAGTTACGGGAACTGAATTGTTTGGTAAAAAAAAGGTGATGTCATTTCCGCGCACTAGATAGATCTAGATCATTCTAGTTCAAAGCTATAGGGCCTATACTATTTTTAAACATGCATTTTTTTTGTTATACTTATAGTAAATTGCAAATCTTAAAAACCGTATTGATCTAATCATTTAATCATTATGTATATTTACTGGCATTTTTTTATTTTATGAAAAGTATTTTTTTTTAAAGACTCCAACATGTAGGACAACAATTTAACATTCCTTCTCCATCTATTCTGGTCGGTGAAATAATTTAATTAGTATTAATTTAATCAGCATAATACGTACATTTTCAATT